TAAATAAATTTAAAACAATTAAATTTATATATTTTTGATCAATTATAATTAGGTTAAAGAAAATAATAAAGAATATTTTAAATATTTACTTCTTAAATAAATTTAAAACAATTAGATTTATATATTTTTGATCAATTATAATTAGGTTAGAGAAGATAAAGAATATTTTAAATATTTACTTCTTACATAAATTTAAAACAATTAAATTTATATATACTAGCTAAAAGAAACGCGCGTACACGCGCGTGGTATCTATACTTTTTTATAAAAAATTAAAAATTTATTTTTATTTGACGAAAAGTTATCGGAATTTTGATCTCTCAAAATTAATAATGTTATTTTTGAAATCGTTACTGTATTACTATTTCAACATTATGGTGTTATAATAATATAATACCTATTATTGCACAGTAAATGTGACCTTTAAATTTTGTACTCAAATAAAGATTATATGCTACGATAATCGAATTGTTAGCAATATATTTAATTCACCCATCTCAGGATCCATGCAGGGTGAATTCCTATTTTGTTTACCACAAGTCCACTTAAAATCGCTTTACAATGTTAAAAAGTTCTGGATTCTTTATTTCGTCTGTGATTTCAGCACATATCATTTTATTTAAAGTTTCTGAATCGCAAATTTGTGTACGTAAACATATAGTTAAACGCACATGTGGCAATCCACGCTTTTTTCTTCTCTATGAAAGACGATACATATAAAATTGTAAATGAATAAAATTACAAGTACCTTGAGTATGCTTAAGGTTAACAGTCCATCCAGGATCACCAGAAGGAAACATTGTAGGATATGTCATGGGATCAAAATTTTCCCTAACAATAAGACTAGAAATTATTTTCTTATTATTTTCTGTTGTGCATACTGAATTTACATCAACATGTAAATCCCTCTTCAATTACTGTAGATAATTTCTTCATCTTACAGGACAAATTTTTTTCTTTGGGTATTTTCTTTTCATTCTCAGTTTCAGTAGACAGAACTCTGTTGTCATTTTTACTGGGAAAAGTCTTTAAAAAATATGAAAGGTTTAGTTCACCATTTTGAAGTTCTTTATCTCGATTTATGAAAAGACAATTCCAATCATTCTCTACAAATAGAAATCCTAATATTAGACATTCTAACTGCCGGAAAATGATTTAATTAATTGTTTTCAAAAAATGATATCAAATGCTTCCTCATTATATTATTAGCAGTTTCATAAATTAATCTTTTAATTTACACTGTTAACCAATACCCTACTGAAAATCCCCACATAGGCTCCTATATAGGAAGCCATATGGTTTCCTATACAAAATCGTATACGTAATTGGAACAGGAATTTGAATAGGAAATTAAGTAGGAATTATCATATGAATGCACATTATATCTTAATATCATGTGCAGTAGTTTTCTTCAACTTTTTCGGCTGCGCAATAAATTTTTTTCATCTCTGTAGTCTATCAGGAACCTGTACTATTGAAAGATATATATCTTAGAGTTGAAAAAAAATTCATATTATAGAAATTGAAATAGGAATATACATAGGAATGTACATTCCTGTGTGGATGTGGATTCATATGATAATTCCGACTTAATTTCCTATTCAAATTCCTGTTTCAATTACGTATACGATTTTGTATAGGAAACCATATGGCTTCCTATTTAGGGACCCATGTGGTTTCCCATATGGAAGCCTATGTGGGAATTTTCAGTGGGGTACAGATGTTGCAAATGCTATTGCATTATACTTCACACTTAACTGTATTAATCGGTTGTTGATCAACATCTACAACAAATTCTGTTGGTTTAAAAGGGAACAATCTAATTGAATATTCTATTTGATGAATATTCAAACACCCTGCATTAAGGCTATCAAAACTATAAAGTCTTACTCCATCGTAATAAACACAAATCCAATGACCAGAATTGTTATTACCGCTATAAACTACTTGAATATTTTTATCTCTTTCTCTAATTGGAACAATTAAATCAAGCATTTGTAAATACAAAGTACTCTGCATAATGAAAAAAGAATTTGAATCATTTTTTAATAATTCTTGAAATTTATACATATTCATATCATTTAACATTTCATTTACATTTTCAATAATTTTAAAATCTTCATTACTTAAAATAAAATACTCTTCAATGTTCGACATGGTATTCTTCTTCAACTTTTAAACTGTTGATACAGCCATTTTTCAAAACAAATCGTTTATTTTAGTTTATTGCTTTAAAAAATTTACTTACATGTGTTTCACCTATAAAATATTTCATTAACTATAATTCAGCTAACTAATGCAACAATGATAGTCTTACATGAACGTGAATTAGCGTTGTTTAATCTTTTTCCATATTATATTATTTTCGATAATGATTATTATTTGACTTATTTTCCTCTGCACTTTTTATTAATATTCAAATCAATATTGAACTCACAAAGTATTATTTAACCCATAAAACAACTTCAACCCTTAAAACAATATTCAAACCTCTTTCTATCTATTTAAATACTTTTCCAAAAGCCAGCATCCTCTATTATCAAACAGTCAATATTTTTTTTCAATATCGAAACATATTCAATACCAATGTTATCCAATATTATATTTTATTATCCTCAAAATCCAAATATCTTTAATGCCAATCTTATCCAATACCAAAAAATTTTCCAAAAACCAACTTCCACTGTGGTCAAATAATCAATATTTTTTTCCAATATCAAAATATATTCAATACTAATATTCTGCAATACCATTTTTTATCCTTAAAATCAAAATATCTTTAATGCCAAAATTATCCAATACCAAACAATTTTTCCAAAAGCCAGCTTCCACTATTATCAAACAATCAATATTTTTGTTGCATTATCAAAATATATTCAATACTAATGTTATGCAATATCTTTCTTTATCCTCAAAATCGTAATATCTTAAATGCCAATGTTATCAAATACCAAGAAAACTAAATGGATTGAAGTATTTTTTATATGAAACATTTAAGACAACCAAAAGAAACAAATATCTTCTATACCAATATTATGCAATATCCATATTTTATGCATAAAAAAATTATTCAATAATCAATGTTTTATCTTCAAAATACATATATAATTATTAATACTATATAAAAATAGGAATATATTTTTTGGGCCCAATACAAAAATGAAAAAGACAAATATAATATAAGAAGATTCAACACATGCAGTAAGTTATTGATCGACAAATTGCAGAAAAATATTATAAACTATATAATAATAAAGTTAAGTTACCTGAGACTATTAGAAGCTTTTTTAGCGACACTACTACAATGATGTTGCAACGGTAGACTTATATCAGCATCTTAAATCAGCAGTAGCCGTTTCACTCCATTGAGGAGAAGTGTTATACCCCTACTCTACCAATCCGGGCCTATGTTAAGTTCTCGCGTGAGGCAGATATTACGGTAGGGCTGAGTGGCGTCTTTGGGGATAGATGTTGGTAAGTTAAGTATGGATACACCACTTCCACTCACGGAGATTAAACGGTTATCATCTATATAGCATATACAATAATAAAAAAAATTTCTCTCAACCCAAGGCTGTCAGGACGAATCGAGCAATCACAGATTGGGTCCTAAAAAGGGAAGTGGTATATCCTCACTCTATCGGCCTGTCCCGGGCTCAGACCTCGAGTAAGTCAATTACAGCGGGGGCCTGTGTGGCGTTCTCGGGCTTAATGACAATATTATTTTATGACGCTTAATGAGTTTTTCAAAAAAATTATAAAATTTTTAATTATAAACATTGTTTAATTTATTTTGACATATTCGTTTTCCTCAGAAGTTCACGATTACGAGCATATATTGCTCCAATAATAGTAAATGTTAATATTGAAAAGTTTTATAATTTTAGTTCAATTCAATAAACCTACATGATGTGTTTTAAACCGATTTAACCCAAAGGTGCTGGCACCAAAAATTTTCTTCTTGCTTCTTATTCTCCAGTACATATAACCACATGGTGATTGTTCGGGCCGGGCTGGTAAAGTGGAGGACACAACTTCGCCTTACAGGACAGTATTTAAAAGGTCATGGACCATCTTATGAACCCTCAACCGAAAGCTGTTTTGACAAAAAAAATTTCAGGTAGAAACCTTCGAGAACCCTAATTATCAAAGTAAAGATATGTATGTATATATAATTTAATAATAATGAGAAAATTCAAGTACTAAGAAAATGTGAATGAATGAAGGAATGAATACAAAGATTATTATTCTATAATAAAGATATGTATGTATATATAATCTAATAATAATGAGAAAATTCAAGTACTAAGAAAATGTGAATGAATGAAGGAATGAATACAAAGATTATTATTCTATTTATTATTCTGAATGAAGGAATGAATACAAAGATTATTATTCTATAATTTATCTATAAATTACAAAAATATTTGCAATAAAAAACAGTAGTTGTTAATAAAGAAAATTTAAAGTTTACAATAAAAATACCTTTCGCAAACTTCATCGAAAATTCTTCTCATGGAATCAATACCCCTAGCGTTTCTTACTTCATTTTTTAATTGCATTTTTAAACGGTGAAGGGATAAAGAGTTGGGATTTGATCCATGAAGAAAATGAGCAGTTTCATGAATTTCATTGTTAACATTATTTACTGACAACATTCCTGGACAGGACCCCGAAGACCGCATCGAACATCTATAGATGTACTTTTTTCTCTCTTCTTTGGATCAACAGTTGCAATTGAAACTTGAGTTGGTTTAAGTAGGTATGGCAATTTTTATTAATGCTAAATCTTCATCACTGACACCTATAGAACAAAAAAGAAGATAGTTACTTTGGGAATATACAATTGAAACGTGTATGGTATAAAATAGTCCGTAGTTTTATTTATTGTATTTGAGATAGAAAAATACTCTATTATGTGCGACATTTATACCTATTGATTTAGTTACTGTTTCATAGCAAATATTTCGTTCAACAGCATAAAGTAAAATACGTTTTGCAATGTTTGGCCAAACACTAACAAGACAAGTTGAATTTTTTTGAAGAAATTTATAATCAATTTCCATCTGCAAAGTATCAACAATATACACACATTAACAATATAAAAAATATTTAAAATTACTTTAATTTATTTATAAAAATTACAAATTAATTAAATAAATAATTTTAAATGTTAAAAAACTTATAAATTTTTTTCAAATTAAATTTAAATGTTTAGTTAAAAATCTTTAGTAAAAATTTTATATTTTCCAATTTTGCTCCAAGCTAAGTCTTTAAAACAGGATAGTCATTGAAATATTGCTCAATTGATGATCCCTTTTCTCGATATTCAACACTTGCTTCCCACAACTTAATAAGTTCTGTATGTTCCGGGGTGTTTGTTCTTAATTTATTCAATATTTCTGAATCACTTGGTTTTAAATTTTCATTTTCGTCTTGTTTGTCAGTCAAATCTGTAGTTAATTCTTTTCGACTTTATTTTTTAAAATTATTATACTTGTTAAATATTATACCGCTAGTATTCTTTCTGGTTGGTGGCTTTGCGGGCAAATAGTACGTCTCCTTTTTTTCACTTGAAAACACGGAAGTGATTTCACTACACCAAAATTCAAAAATTTGACGTGTTCTCTTTTTGTCATTTGCTAATAAATGCTCTGTAACTTGAAGGACAAGTTTTTTTCTGTCGTCGCTATCTAATGAGTTCTTTTTTAACAAAGCTTTACCCGTTCCAGTTTGGTTCAAAACGTTTTTTAAAACAATTCCGGCAAAGTTTGCCTCTCTCGAAGACGTATCTTGTGGTGGAACATCCTTCTGATAATCTTGTTCTGCAATAGTCTCTTGGTTTTCGGAAAGATTAGCACCAGTAGCAATTTCTTCAGTGTCTGATGTTTCCTGTATACGAGTAAAAGATCATAATTTTTATAGGTGAAAAATTTACAAATGCAAAGACTTCAACACATATAAACAGTTGAAAAAAATACTTCAAATTAAAAAAATGGTTTTCTAACGAAAGCAAAAGGTAATATAATTTAATTTTAATGTATTTCAAATATCAATAATTCGATTTGAAGAAAAACAAGTTTTCTAATAAAATTTTTAATTATTATAATATTTATTTAATATCTTGCATTTGTTCCGAAATCATAAAATTATACATTTAATCATATTAGAAATAAAAGATAGCTATTTCTGTTTTTATAAAGTTTCTAATATATTGTCTAAGCATAAATTTTAATTACCTGATCATTATTATGAATTTCCTTGCTAAATTCTGATCCTTTTTTAAGGAACTGAAGCCTAGGACCTACCTTCGGGATCAGTTCCTTTAATTTGTTTCCATCAATAGAAAGAAATATTTCGCTTGTTATTTCGTTTGCTATAAAAAATAAAAATATTTATTGTCTACATAGAATTATAATTTGAATAAAATTATTTTACATATTATCAAATTATTCATTTCTCTGATAAAAATGTATAATATGTATAATATATATAATAAAAATGCGATAATATGTAAAATGACACAAAAAGTGAGGTTAAGATTCGTGTAGATTTAACTTTGGAAAAATACTTACCCAGAAAATTCTGGACGTACTCCCCCAACCCCCACTCATTCAATTTCGACGTCATATTTTCGAGATTCGACATTTTTGAAACTTAAAATTAACAAATAGTAGAATAATAAACCAAAAACACCGTGCTTATAACATGCTGATGCAACACCGAGAAGTAAAAGGACTAGGTTAAGACGCAACATCACGAAAATACCAGGCGCATAAACGCATGCGCGCGTCTAACAGTAACAATCGTAGTTGTTTTTACCAAGAGGCTACAGTTAATTTAACGAATTTTTTTTAACAAGTAAAACTTTGTTCAGTTTACCTAATATCACTAGTTATAAAAACTAAATACAAAGTAAATTTAACAAAAGCAATTTTAACCATCGTAACAAGTAAATTCAATTTCTAAATATTAATTAATAATACTAAAAATTTAGTTAATCTACACCCAAAAAAAAGTAATCTTAAATTTAGAGGAAAATTCCTCTTCTGAAATCCTCTGAATATTTCCTCTTAAAATACGAATATTCCATTTGACTGTAGAATATTTTTATTCTTTGTTGTAATGGAACAATGACAAAAGGAGTACTTTTGCATTTTCCTCTTCAATTACGATTTTCCTGTTTTAATTTAGTATATTTGAAAAAAGGAAAAGTAAATACATGATATCGATTACATTTTTTTCCTGTTTGACATTTGCGCTATTGTTTTTCGAAACTGTCAATTTTGTCATAATAATGTTGTGTTATAAATCGAAAGACCAAAATGGAAAAGAGAGTCGAAGATTTACTAAATGATTTAAATCTGGGTGGATATATTGAATGGAGGTATAAATACAGAAAATATAACCTCTCGATGAATCTTCATTTCTTACCAATTTTCTTAAATATTTGCGTCGAACTTCTTTAATATTTGCAACTAGCTGTAGCATTTTTTATTATTATTGTAATTAAATCTAATGTATTGATGCTCAGCAAAAAGCAAGAAATATTTTTCAGAAATATTTAATTAAAAACCAATATTTCATTCTTTATTCCAGGAATCTATTATAATTTACCTTTTTTGAATGTAAATAATTAAATCTTATTAAATATTTATTATATTATTCAAATTTAAAAAAATTATTGGTTCTCTTGACATTAATAACACTAGGAATTTTTTTTGTTGAGGTTTTGATATCAACATTTAATTCAATGTGTCAAAACTGTACTTTATTATCAATACATAACCATTATTGTCTAATAATTTATTCAAAACCTGTGTATTACGGTTATTTTCAACTTGTCAAAATATTAGAATATTATTCTTCTTTTAAGAGGATTTTTTCGAGAGGAAAATCCTTCTAAATTAAGATTATTACTTTTGATACCAAAATTAAGAGGAAAATATGCATTACATTTAGAGGAATCCTCTAGAATGAAGATTACTTTTTTTAAGGTGTAACTAAAAAAAATTCAACTAACGAAATGTAGTTAATTTTCTAAAAACTTTTTTTTCAGTGCATATAAAGTCTAAATTTTACTTAAAATCTGTAAATTATATCATTTTTTAATTTTTGAAAAAAAATTTTGTATTTAAAAAAAAAAATTTTCCAATCAAAATTTACAATTTAACAAAATATCAAAATTTAAATTTATACTAAAATAGTTGAATTTAACATAATCTTACAAATATACGTTTCCAAATTACTTTTTTTTATTTACCATAAAATTTCTTAGTTATTATTTTGCAACTTATTAATTAAAATTTATAAATTAATTATAAATATTTAATTTATTCTATTACATTTAAACTTATACAGATTTTTAAATTGAAATTAAATTTCGCGCTGTACCGACGGCTGAGTCGAATCGAAGTAGTTACATTATGCCACCGCATCACCCCGGTGACACTCTTGAGTTGAAACTCAGACCAAATTTGACCGTTGCCACCGGTGGCGCTGGCTGTGTAGTGGGAACATTTCAATGAAAATTCATGGGATAACACACAAAAATTTACTTCTCACTTATTAAAGTTTATTTAATCGTGTTTATTTGTGCATATAATTAATTTAGAAACTTTTAAACATATTTTATAATATAACTCACTTTAGAAAAGAGTGAAGTTTTTTATTTATAACGAAAAATATGTACCAATTCCTGGCGGGAAATTCAAATAAAATAAATTTTTATTATTATAAATTATTATTTTATTAATTGCTGATATTTATTCTATAATATTTTACAATATTTATAATAAATTGTAAAATACTTTTATTTGTGATATTTGATGAGTACATAATAATTACTTAATTTGAATTTCCCGCCAGGAATTGATACATATTTTTCGTCATAAATAAAAAACTTCACTCTTTTCTAAAGTTAATTATATTATAAAATATGTTTAAAAGTTTCTAAATTAATTATATGCCCAAATAAACACGATTAAATAAACTTTAATAAGTAAAAAGTAAATTTTTCTGTGTTATCCCATGCATTTTCATTGAAATGTTCCCACTACACAGCCAGCGCCACTGGTGGCGACGGTCAGTTCTCAGCCGAGTTTATTCCTATAGAAAATGGTACAATTGTCACCGGGGTGCACCGCATACACGAGGCGATGAAAGGGCGTGGCGAGGAGGCCGTGCGGTGGGGAGACACCTATAAGTGTTGCAGATCAACGGTAGAAGAGCACATTCGACTTAATGAGCAGTGCAGAGCAGTCGAACATGCAGCACTGGTGTAAGTGCTACCAGTGCCACGTAATAAGGGTGTCCATGCATAATGTAAGTATATAATATAATTTATTCTAATATAATATAATATAGTGTAATATATTATTTTCAGATACAGAATACAGGCAATGAGCTGCCGTTCCCGGCAAAACCGCATATGTACCCACGACATAGGCCAGAGACGCCATCTTGGGAGGAGCTGGGGTCTCCGCCACGGTCACTTTCGCCAACACCACAACCCGAAGAGAAAACGCTACCCGGCCCCGGTCGACAACGTGCGGCTAGGCGTATAATAATTAATATTAATATTATTTTTTAAATTTTAATAAATTTTTCTGTCTGTATATAAGTATTAATTAATTATGCACATGCGCGAAAAGTATAAGAGTGGGTATTGCACATACGTGAAGAATAGGAGTGGGGGTAAGAGGTATTGTGTGTATGCGTGAAGAGAAGAAGTGGGGTTAAAGATTTTTTGCGCATCCGTAAAAGTAAAGGAAAGGGATTTTAAGATAAAAATACGTGATCTCGGAGCTATTTTAGTCATTATTCCTTTTGTTCCAACCACCGAGGGACTGCGCAAGCATCCCAACTATACAAAATCGTATACGTAATTGGAACAGGAATTTGAATAGGAAATTAAGTCGGAATTATCATATGAATCCACATCCACACAGGAATGTACATTCCTATGTATATTCCTATTTCAATTCCTAAAATATGAATTTTTTTTCAACTCTAAGATATATATCTTTCAATAGTAGAGGTTCTTGATAGACTGCAGAGATGAAAAAAATTTATTGCGCAGCCGAAAAAGTTAAAGAAAACTACTGCGCAAGATATTAAGATATAATGTGCGTTCATATGATAATTCCTACTTAATTTCCAATTACTTATACGATTTTGTGTAGGAAACCATATGGCTTCCTATATAGGAGCCTATGTGGGGATTTTCAGTAGGGATGTATTAACATACAAAATGAAAATGATCATGAATGTTTCAAATAGGCAGTTCTGTCTGCCTTACATCCAAATGTAAAAAGAAGTTATTGCGTATCCAGTTATAATGACTATAAAAATGACTTGAAGTTTGACTGTATTGATTTTTTAGTCTTTTTAAAAAATATTCCTAAATTTGAAAAGCTAAATGACATTTCGATAAATGTCTATGGTCTTTAAAAGAGATATGGTAACTACTCAGTACATACTCTTCACTTAACCGCGGAAAAAAAAATAAAAATGTAAAACTTTTATACGTTACAGAGATATATGTAGATGAGAGTGTTGAGAATGTGATTTTACTAATTATCATTATGTGTGGATAAAAGATTTATCACGACTTGTATCGAAACAATTGTCTAACAATAATGTTAAAAAGTTTATATGTGATCGTTGCTTACATTATTTCCATTCTTTGGAAAAATTAAATTTACATATTGATAATTGTAAAAAAATTCATGATTATAGTATAAAGCTTCCTCGTTCCTCGTTTTCTGTTATGTGTCGTACAAGTTTTAAATTAACAACCTCGTATTCGTCTTTAGCATCAGCAACATTACAGATTCTTCTACCTTCAACGTAGTAGTTACCTTGTGAATTGACTTTAAAACCAACTTCAGAAGGTTCAGTAGGTCCACGTCTTGCTATTACTATTCCTCCTTGACTGAGAGGATGTCCGAACACATCAATGCTTATTATTGAAATGAATGAAATTTACTAAAGCACACCTTAATATATGATTTTAGCCTCACGTAATTCCTCAATAATTGACATAATGTCATTGAGATCGCTAGTTTTGCCAGCTCCTTGAGATACCCAATAAGTAGTCGAAGATGATCAACCAATTCATTTGAATCATCCCAATAAATATAGTCTGGTCTACTAATTATAAGGGATCTATCATTAGCTTTGCGTACTCCACATGTCATATCCAAACATTTTTTTTTATTATGTTTTACCAAGAATATATTTTTACTAACTAATTTGTCAATGTCAGATCCGGGTTTTACTATTTTACCATCATCAGTACTAATATAATTTGTGTTATCATCATCTGATTCAGCTTTATTTTCAATTTCTTCTTTCTTTTCAATTTTAACATTTTCATGCTTATAATCTGTCAAGTTAATAATTTTTTGTAAAGGTTAAACTACTGATTTAAAAGTACCACTCAAAACATTTTCAGCAGCCTCTTTCCCCAATTTTAACATACGATGCTTCCCTCTAATTGCCTCACTAGCTTTTGCAATTTGATGCAGATACTCTTTCTCTTTATGAAACATGTAGATATTTCAAGTTTTAAAACAACACTAACACTATTTTTAAAAGTATCGTGTATTTATAGTGTTAGAAAACTGTCGAATCCTTTTCTATATCTTCCATCATTCAAATTAGAATCTTTATCAATTACTACAAAGCCATATAAATATTGAATTCTGTTT